TTCTAGCTGGGCTTTTGCCTTTCTAATTTCCTCTCTGCACAACCTAACAAGACCAATGTACTCCTCTTGAGTCGCCCGCCATTTCTTCCGTAAGTGGTAGACCCTCCTTTTTTTCCTGAGTCCCAGCATATCTCGCTTGAAAACAACTTCCCTTCAAAGTTTTAAAGGCAGTACAGCTTCTTACCTCATTAGACTTTAGTGGAGGCTGAACATCTATCTTTGAAGCAAGACTTCAGAAACCATTATGTTAAAGTAAGAGGGATTGTGTAGCACCTTTTAGCCTTCAAGCTGTCAAAAACTTAGAGTGAGATTTTTAGTTACTGCTAAAGATGTCACAGAAATAGGGCTGGGAAACTGAGATTCACGTAGAATCCAGAACTTTCAGCCCTGAGGGCTGCCACCCTTTTATCACTTTATGTTGGCATGTGATCTGTAGGAAAAGGTGGGATGATGGGATGGTGAAGGAGCATTCCATCCTGTAAGGGGAGAGGGGAAACCCCTTAACTTGATGTGCTGCAAGGATCATACCTTCAAGTTTGATGTCTTGCGTTCTGCAATATAGCATTACATATTTATTTCACTTTTGTGAGAAACTGATACTTATCTGGCAGGCAGCTGTTGAACGTACTGTTATTCTGAACTGAAAGGAGATTGGAAGATGGATAATCACATTCTTCGATTCTAAGTCTTGTTACACTACATTCTTATTACTGATTTCTGCAATGCTTTCTGCATGTTGTAACTGGTGCTACTATTTTTATTGCTTTTAGACTGACCAGGGCATCAAAAATCTTCCTGTTGAAGAAGCAGAAAGATTGGCTTCTACTGATCCTGATTATGGGATACGTGACCTTTACAATGCCATTGCCAAGGGGGACTACCCATCATGGACTTTCTACATTCAAGTTATGACATTTGAAGAAGCAGAGAAGTTTCCGTTTAATCCTTTTGATTTAACTAAGGTATCTCTGATACTGTTGTGAATATTTGGTTTCAGCTAGTTGAAGAAAGGTCATGAGATGAAAAGATAGGAAACGCCAGAACTGAGTTTAACTATAGAAAAAGTGTAACGGTTTCCATGGAGTAGCACTGTTTTCTTAAGTTCAGTCTAGTCACTTTCAATAAAGTTAGACTGTCCTTTTTCTTCTTCCCTACTGTTTAAGTGTACTGTTCATTATATGGGCATAATGAGTCAGAAATTCTGGGGGTGAAATTGTACTGGTGTTATATCTGATGTTATTCTTCCTTAATGAGATATGGATAGGGCTTGATTCCAGGCCTGCCAGTTACAGCTGCACTGCATTTCAGAAGTGTGATCTCAGATAATACAGTCACACCCTGAGCTCCCTAGTTTTAAGTGTTGTTGATAATGTAGCTTCTGATTGTTGGTCTAATTTTGTCAGGCTTCCAATTGCTGTTCCGAGGAATGGCATGTTGAAAGATACCAACATAAACTTGGCTGGGCATTTTTTCTTTTTCCCCTCTAATATTGCTCTCCCAAAATGGCTGAAGACTTTTGAACTTGGAAGTACAGGCTGAGGTGACAAAGAAAAGGCTAGTTAAGCTGGTTGCGTCTGGAAGTAGCTGAAAACAATGATGCTGCCAATTCCACCTATGATGTTGCATTCCTAGGCAGTTTTTCAAGTACCTGCGGGTATTTCATTTAAGTAGTCAAGTGCTGAGATTATGCTGAGATGATGAAATAAGTTGCATTAGTACTCTCTAGTAATTGCAAAACACTTCTTAAAATAAGACATTTCTCAATGTTTGTTAGCAAAAAATAAGTTTCTTCAGTAGTGTATTTTCTCAAGACTTAAATCGGGCAAATGCTGCCTAGTAATTATTTAAGCTGCATAATACTATGATAGTGTTGATTTTAATGTACGTGTGTTATGTCTTACAGATTTGGCCGCATGGTGACTACCCTCTCATCCCTGTGGGAAAGCTTGTCTTGAACAGGAATCCTGTCAATTACTTTGCGGAGGTGGAACAGATGGCATACGATCCTAGCAACATGCCACCTGGTATTGAACCTAGCCCTGACAAAATGCTGCAGGTAAACAACAGTGCCCACAAGATTTTTACCTGAGGAGCATTTCGTTTGCTTTGCTGTTTATTGAAAGCATTCCTGTCCCTGTTTGTGTAGCAGCAGTAAACTTGACAGATGGGAAGCAACTGATTTTTTTTGTTTTGTTTTTTAATTTTGGTGCTTTTTTTTAAATGATCACGATTTGATGTGCTCATCCAAAATCTAAATACAAAGAGAACAGGTAAGAACTAAAGGAATAGCAAATCTAGGATTTAGAGGGCATCTGCAACAACTATAGAAGTTGATGGGGCAATCTGTCAGTCTGACAAGAAGTTCGGGGTAAAACCATAGTAGCAATGCATATTTATTCATGCTTTTACAATGTATCTTAGAACTATAAACTCTTACAAGTGTGAAAGGTAGACTTCAAATGCTCTAAAATATAGATGTAACTAATCCCCAGCAAGACTGTTCTTTAGAAGTATTGTCAGATTTCTTATGGGTCAAAATATCTGAGAAGGCTGGCTGCAGTAGACTATACTGTCTGCAGGGTCATGGATGTTTGCGTGTTACGCTTTTTCGGATTAAAATTAGATCGTTGTTTCAAATGATGTCCATGGAAACAAGAATGTACTTTGACAGTTTTAATTGGATGAACTCATGAACCGTCATGCAGTCCTTCTGTTTTGTCTTTTTGCTCCCACAAACTTCATGGTCGGAATCAGTCTGTCTTCCTGGCATCCTGAAGTCACTAGAACTGCTTTAGGTTCATTTCAGTAAATGAATAAGGGACTACCACATTTCAGATGTAATTACTTTTTAAATCTAAGGATGAAAATAAGTAGGAATATTATTCCTTAGTGATATGTATCACTGTTATACTCATTTTATCTCTACATGTGGAACCATTTTCCTGTGTCAGACTAGGTTTCGCATTCCGAAATTGGTAGGAAATACCGGAGCTGCCCAAATGCAACTCAACCTGCCATTCTTCTCTGGTATTCCAGCAGAGTTAGTTTGTGGCTGATTGTCACTTTGGATATAATTTGAAGTATGTCAAGCATATATATATATACAAAGGAAACAGTCTCTTCCCTTTTACTGTTTAATGTGTAGTCCTTTGAATTTGCATATACCACTCTCAGCAGGTAGTAGTTAATGTTTGTGATAAATCTTTTAGGGTCGTCTTTTTGCGTATCCTGACACTCATAGACACCGGCTGGGACCTAACTATCTACAAATTCCTGTGAACTGCCCCTTCAGAACTCGTGTGGCTAATTACCAGCGGGATGGACCGATGTGCGTTTCTGACAACCAAGGTAGTAATGAACATATCATTAAATAAAGTGATACTTATGCGTATACTGCAGAATCCTTTTCTGTTCATAGGGGATTTAAGATACTTGCTAAACATAATTTTATTGGATATTACTGGCTGCTTATACTGTGAGGAATGCTATTTTTTCTCCTCAGTCATTCAGTGTCTCTTGTGATGTTTTCCACCAGTGTAAACTTGCCAGTGTATAACTTTCTGAGCCTCAGACTTCCCAGTCTATCTGTTTTTTCCTTTTGTCTAAAAACTGTTCCTTATCTCTCATAATCTCTGTCAACCTTTTAGTACCTGTTCTTATATTACTAGATCCTTTCTGACATTAGCTGGCCTCACCTGTAGTTGTTACAAATCCACCATGTGCTCTCTCCTCTGGACTGCCCTAAATTTGTCCATGTGCCATTCCTAATACTTTCTTTGACTCAGCGCTCACCAGCAATCAATGTAACTTACCTCAGACTATTCCAGATGAATTCAATATCTATTTTGTGATGAGTAGTGACTTATCTTGGAACCCATGGTTGTGCGTGTATGAAGTTGCATGCATTTCTGTTTCCCTTGTGAATTGCGTGGTAAATAAATTGCTTTTCTGAAAACAATTTTTCATCCACTGTTTTGGGATCAGAAGATCATGTGTCAGTATAAATAGTGAGCTTTGATTATGGCTAAGTTGAAGCTTGCAGAGGCTAAGCTGTCACCTTATTATTTGCTGCATTTTGGGGTAACTTTATGAATGTGCTTAATAGTGCTAGCCCTCACACAGATCCTAGAGGAGGGTCTACCTGATAAATTTTTCTTACTAGAAGTGACCTTTTATTCCTCTGTTTCCTTTGTTCTTGATATGATGCTAATTGACAAGATATTGACTTTATCCTGTTATCCCCTGCGCTTTCAGATACTCAGTCCACTTTGTTAAATTGCTTTGCTTTCTGATTTCCAAGAGATTGTGAAAGGCAAGTGTCTAAATGCCAAGATTAGAGCTTTAACTTTGCCTCTGTTCTGCGGGTTATGTTCTGTCAGCGTTTGCCCAATAGTGACTGGTTTACACCTGACAGTAAACAAGGGTATACAGAATCTATGCCTCTGGGCTAGGAATTCTGATACTTGCTGAGGGAGGAGAAGGAAATATTTGGAAAATAAGAACTTGAGAACAGCTGCTCCTGTCCAAGAACAGACAAGTTCATTTTTATGCAGTTTTGTAAGTTCATTACGTGTTTAAAATAAACAGTCTACATAGTTAAGCTTAGTAGTACTTCAAATATACAGATGGAAGTGTATTTTTATGCTGCCTTAGACTAAAACTTGAATAACTTCCATGACTTTGCTCAGACAATTTTAATAGACAATGTTGTTGTGAGTGGCCAGACCTCCTTATTTCTGAAACAAATCCATTTTTCCCCCAAAAAACTATTGAAATTCTATTTGTAGTAAGTGCTGTTAAGTACTGGCTTGAAGATGCAAGCCCCTGATCTTGAGCTGTATGTCGACAGAAAAATACTGACAACTGTTTTTAAGAAAGTGAATCATATCTGGGTAATTGATTTTGGTTCTTCTACGCAAAGAACATTTTCTGTCTTCTGACTTAATCAGAGAGAGCTGGCATCTGATTATTTTGGTTTTGTGGGTTTTTTTTGTTTGTTTTCAGGTGGTGCTCCAAACTATTATCCCAATAGCTTTACTGGTCCAGAAGATCAGCCCACTGCAAAGGAGAGCTGTTTGTCTGTTTCAGGAGATGTGCAGCGCTTCAACAGTGCAGATGAAGATAATGTGACTCAGGTATGATGTATGAAAAAGCTTTATATTGCTTATTACCTAGGATGAGTTTACAGGGTGAGTTTAGAGACGATTAATAAGAATCATTCAGACATGGCTCCTCTCTGAAGCATCTGGTCTAACCTGAAGTTCAGCTCTCAGGAGAGCTTGGGAAATCTCCATACAGCTTAATTTTGTGAGCAACTGAAGTTTTGCTGACAGAACAGTTAGTGATTCCTCACAGACCTTTGCCATCCATATTCAGGGTGCCGATATCTAGAGGTTGTGACTTTTGTCGTCTTGCAATTAGTGTCTGCAGATAGGCAAACTAGAGCATGCGTGTTATGTCATGGTCATCAGTTCCTGAATTGGACCCAAGAACAATATTTATTTTCGTTAATTCAAGAAGCAGCAGTTATGTCAAGCTAGAAATCAAAAGAGTTGTTAGCAGGTTTGCCAAAAAAATACCCCACCACATTTGGTTGCCTTCTGAGTTTAAGTATTTTGAGTATTTTGTTGCCTGACTAGTAAGTGAAAGCTATTCTTTTACAGTAATTATGAATCTTAAAAGTCTAGTAAGTATTGTTGGTTGCTACAGGTGGAATGACTTGCTTTGGGGAATTTCAGTTAAAAATTTTGTTTCCAATTGTAAGGTGCGAGATTTCTATACCAAAGTGCTGAAGGAGGATGAACGCCAAAGGCTGTGTAAAAATATTGCTGATCATCTTAAAGACGCGCAGCTCTTCATTCAGAAGAGAGCTGTAAGTGGCCTGTTTGGTTTTTAGCCTTTGCTCTTCATTCCGGGTTTTCTTGTAGTCTAGTAACTTTGTCAAAATGGCAATATATTTATGGAAAGGAAGATCAGAAATTCCTCTCTGAGAAAACAACTAGATTTTTCTTATGTGGGAATTATCAGTACAGGACACTTAAATATGTGTACATTTACATAATATAATGTACAACATGTTAACATAGCTTCTTTATGATGGGAAGAATGGGATTGATGTTGAACATTACGGATGTCATTATATGTTTAGCTTGGTGTTTCAAAAATCAGGTGACTGCCAGTGTAATGTTTTGCCCTAAACAAGGAAAAGGCAGTGAGGGTGGGGTTGGAGTTGGAGCTTTATCCTTCCCAGTGGAACTTTGTTTAAATCACTGAAGAGCTCTGTGTGAGATAATAGAATGAGTGTTTGAAGATATTC